AAAACCTTCCCCCATCTGAAGACCAAATGGAAGAAAAATAAAAAGAACATGTCAAAGAAAAAGAAACCTGAACATTTGCTCTCCAATCAAAGGGAAATATCCAGGTGCTTAATTTGATTAATGAATTGTTTTCATTTTTTTACACGAGTTCATATCCTGATATGCATTTCACAGATTCAGTTCAGTGCGAGTTTTCATGGATATAAATGTACATACCAGAGGAGGGGTTTTCTTTTCCTACTGACATGCTTTTTTCAGTACAGAATGTCTAGCTGGCTCATGCTCTTAGCCTGACAACACCTTCTCTGCCAAGTTTTATTTATATTTTCAAGCCACGTCTCTATCCTGGTATAGGAGACAATCTGGTCTAGTGAAAGGAGCACTGGACAAGGAGTCCAAGAACCCCGAGTTGCGAGTGCCTCTCAGCTGTAAAGTTACGTATCTCTGCAAGTCTAATATTCTTTCAATCTGTAAATTAGGAGAGTTGACAAACACACCTCTAGAATTCAATCAAAGTCATTTTACTTTCCTCAGAATAACTGTGGAAAAGTAAAATGGCATGGAAATTTTAACATGATGTGTATTTCCACAACTCCTCTTCACAAACAGGCAAAATGTGTAAGGAAATATTTCCAATTAAAAAAAAAAAAAAAAAAAAACTTTGCCTAAAATCCTAAAATGTATCTCTTCCTAAAGATAGACCAGATAATATTGGGATACATAACTCTCAGAATATCAATGATAGAAAACTTTTTCATTATCTAGGGGATGGGTTTTTATCTCATTTGAAAGATAACACTAGGCCGGGTGCGGAGGATCACGCCTGTAATCCCAGCACTTTGGGAGGCCGAGGCAGGCGGATCACCTGAAGTCAGGAGTTTGAGACCAGCCTGACCAACATGGAGAAACCCTGTCTCTACTAAAAATACAAAACGAGCCGGGCGTGGTGGTGCATGCCTGTAATCCCAGCTACTCGGGAGGCTGAGGCAGGAGAATCACTTGAACCTGGGAGGTGGAGGTTGCAGTGAGCTGAGATTGTGCGATTGCACTCCAGCCTGGGCAACAAAAAAAAAAAAAAAAAGAAAGAAAGAAAGAAAGATAACACTAATAGCTAAGTAACTGTTCATGCTAGGTATTATTCTAAGCACTTTGTGTTACTTCCTGTAATCTTCATAATTTTATGAGGTAAGTATTGTTATTTCATTATAAAGAAAACTAAAGCACAGATAAGGTAGATCAGCTGGCCAAGGCCACACAGCTTGCAGAGCTGGTGGAGCTGAGATCTGAAGCCAGGCAGTCCAGAAACCAAGTCCAGACTCCTTACCACCTGTCAAACAACCTTTTAGTTTGAGAATCTCTGCTGACCACAACTAGTAACTGAGAAAAGCAGTAGTGCTGTTTCTGCATTACTAATTGCCTAAACAATTATTTACTAATTGATTACTAATTGTTACCTAATTAATAAACATTTTCACAGAGTAACCAGATGTGAACCATTACTAACCAATGCCTGATAGAAACTGCCACAGAGTCACAAGTGTTCAAAATGCCTATCATTGTCCCGTTCCCTGTTGATAATAAGGTAACACCATTTTGTGTGGCTAGCATCTAAAAATGGGGAAATATGCAGCTTGCTCCTATAGAAGTCTTACTATTTCATTATTCTCCATTAAATTTTACACCCTGGGAACTAGCTGGGATCACTTCCTCACTCAGAGGCAGCATAACAGTGGTTAGGACAGACCCTGGAACAAGAATGGCTGGGTTTAAATCCTAGTTCCATCCCTTATTTGCTATGTAATCTCAGGCCAGTTACCAAATCTTCCTGTGCCCCAGTTTCCTTATCTAGCTAATGCAAATGAGAATACAAGTATCCACATCCTAGGGTTATCTAAAGATTAAATAAGTTAGGCCGGGCGCGGTGGCTCACGCCTGTAATCCCAGCACTTTGGGAGGCCGAGGCGGGCGGATCACAAGGTCAGGAGATCGAGACCACGGTGAAACCCCGTCTCTACTAAAAATACAAAAAATTAGCCGGGCGCGGTTGTGGGCGCCTGTAGTCCCAGCTACTCGGGAGGCTGAGGCAGGAGAATGGCGTGAACCCGGGAGGCGGAGCTTGCAGTGAGCCGAGATCGCGCCACTGCGCTCCAGCCTGGGCGACAGAGCGAGACTCCGTCTCAAAAAAAAAAAAAAAAAAAAAAAAAAAAAAGATTAAATAAGTTAATATGTGTAAAGTGCTCAGAAGCATTCCTGACTCTTAGTAGCACTCCATAAAGGTTAATTATTCTGTTTTATTAACATGAAAGGTGACTTGCCAAACATCAAAGTCAGAAGTAGCTGGATTCGATCCTGGTCTTCCCATTCCAAATGCCATCCACCTTCTTGAACAGAATTCCATGCTGTCTATTACTAAGAGTTATCACTCTGTTGAAATCCTGCTATGTGCCAAACCACCCGATCATACGATTTTCCCCATAAAACTGCTCCAAGACCCACAAGGTAGGTAATGTTGTCCGTTTTGCAGATGATGAAAGCAAGGTTGTGAGAGGTTAAGCGATTCATCCTCAACTGCCTAACTCAACCACTGAGTATTCTTTGTCTCAGGAAGTCCTAAATAACGTTAAAGTTCCTGACAATACCCTTCAATTTATACTATTTTTAAAGTGCCATCTAAAAGACATAAACTCTGATTTTCTTGCTTTGTTTGCTTTATTAGCTTGAGAGAAGGATTAAATCCCAGCAAAAACAAAATGTTTGACTTGAGTGAATTATCAAAATGAAATGCTGCCTCCATTAGATTCTTCATCTGCCTGCAGGGTGGCTCCAAGCATCCTAAATCTACCAAATGCAATTTTTTAGATGGGTACTATCAGGTACCAAGCCAAACACTCACCCATTTAAGAAAAATTACTTTGGAGGGCAAAGGGGAATGAAGAAGAATATTCCTCTCTGGGTTGGGAGGAGAAAATGAACAATACGTGATACAATCTCTTCCCAGCAGCCTCACACAATGGTGTGTCTTGCAAATGAAACATACTGTGAAACAGCTTGTGAGATGAGCTTCATCAACAATAAGTAATTTTTATTCAGATTTTATCGTTGACTACAATGAACATGATTAAACGTTTCAGATATGCCTATTCAGACCTTAAGCAAACCACTAAAAAATAAAAACTACTAAAAATCATCTTCTAAATCTGCTTTAGAAGAGACTTAATTGCCAACTCGATGGGTAGAACCGAATTCCTACTTGATAGCAGCACCGTTCCCAAGAAGATGGTCACAACATATTTGCACTTCCCACCTCGGCCTCTTTTCTCATCCCTGCGGATCCTCCCAGCGTTGCCAAATAGTTACAAAGTCAGTCCTTTCAAACCACTGCATTTTGAACTTCCTAAACCTTTAAGAGAGACTCTGTGTACGGAAAAGAACAATAGCGCTTCAAAAGACCTTTCTGCGAGTTCTTCAATACTCCATTTGAATGCTGGGGTTTCAATCAAGGACATCAGCAGACAATTTCTGATTGCTTAGAAGTTGACTTTTATACAGCTTTGATTAGGTCGCCCTTCTCAATAGGAAATCAAGAAAATATTTGATCACTTTAGGTTCCCAGAATTGTCACCAAGCCTTGTCAGGATAGGGAGTGAAAGAGACGGGGGTGGCGGGGGGCCCTACTCCTTCTGACATCTCCGAACCCCCATCTATCTTCGTGCCTGCGCAGTTCCGGTGCCATCCAGAATCACTCATCACAGAGATCACAAAAACAATGGGTGCTAATTCAAGGGGTGGGGATGGTTTATAATTTTATGGATTTCCCAAAGACCTATAATTGGCACATAAATGTACCAACGTGAACTGGATAATTAGGGGGTTCTAAAACGTAAGCCACCTTTAATTTATATGATTACTTGAAAACGTTAAGTGTTGTAAAGTGTAGTGGAATCTCCACACGGCCTTTATTCAAAACTATCAACACTGAAAGTGTATTTAACTGGCCAGCAGGAGGGGAGCAGGAAGGAGGTGGAAACGACGGCGCGGATTCTCACCCCCGGTCCCTGTTGGCTGGCTAGGAGCTGCACTGGAGCATCCAGCTCGCAGGCGGGCTCGCCCCCGTCCAGCTCCCAGGCGGAGAAAGGCGCTCTCGCTACCGCAAGCTCTACACTCGCCCCTCTTTCTAACGGAGTTAAACATAGGCGTGCGCCGACATCCAAACGCACACGCAGACACCGACCCACGCGGGCGCGCACCCCAGCCTCGCGACACACACACACCGGAGCGCACAGAAGCCCGCGCCGCGGCGCTCTCCACTCCGCCCGCCGCCGAGAGCCGAGCGGTCGCCAAACGCCCCCGGCCTCCCCACCCCCACGCCATTCCTTCAGACTCTCCCAGCCTAAGCGGAAGTGCCCCAGCAGACCCCCAACAATGAGGACTTGTGCGATGCAGTTGGGGGTTGGGGGTAGTTCACACGGAGTGAAACGTACACAGTCTGGCAGGTCTGGGAGCAGCCAAGTGGCGTCCGCCTCTCCAGGCAGCGTTCCCTTGTGCCCACTGGCCCCCATGAGGCCCACCAGCACCACCAAAAAACAAAAACAGAGAAAAAAAGCGCCTTAAAAAGTGCAGAGAAAAGATGCGCCCTCCCACCAGGGGTCACAATAATACTCCCCGGGACGCAGCCATCGGAGGCAGAGTCCTGACTGCAGCAGTCACCCTGGTTTTGAAATTTACTTTGTACACTCACCCAGTGGCCCCTTTCAGACGCCGCGACACGACCTCCCCCCATCTCGGACTCCCTGCCTCTGGGTTCTCTCGGCGGTTGACACCCTCTTGTGTGCCTGCCTTACGAGCCGAACCACAGAGATTTAAAGTTTCCCTGGTAGGAAAAAAAAAAAAAACTGAGCTCTCTGCATCCAAGTCAGAGCGTCTGGAGCAGAGAGAAGGAAGAGAGGCGGGCTGGGGAGGGGACTAACTGGGCGTGTGGGCAGGGGGGTGCTGGGGAGTGGATGGAGGGGGTCGAGCGGCAAAGAACAGAGTCCACAGAAGATCCGAAGAAAGGCAGGGGTCCGAGGAACGCGGGATCCAGTTCTCACGGTGCCCGCGAAAGGGCTGGGATTACTGGGATAGAGTCGGTTTTTCGAGAGGTCGAAGCCGAACCTAGCTACCGAGGAGTAGGGAAGTGAGAACGGGGTTCGGCCGAGTGAGGAAGAGGGTCTGGCCACCAGAGAAGCAGGGAGGGAGTTTCGGGAGCACAGGACAGCGGGAGAAGGCAGGCTCGAGGACCGACAGAGCCAAGACCGCAGGAGGAAAGAGGGCGCAGGGGGTCTTGGAGAGAGACGCGTGTCAAGGGTGGACAAGTCTGGAGACAGGATCGCGCGTGGTCAGAAGTAGGGAGACAGGGGCGCAGGGGTGGGTGGCAGGAGAGAGAAAGAGAAGTCACCCCTTTCCTCCCAGCAAGTGGAGGGAGAAGGCGAAAAACTGCTGCAGTCGCCATCCTCGCACCACCCCTAGCCAAACTGCTGAGTGGCGCGTCCCAGGAGCCCTCCTCCGCGCCGGGGGCCCCAGCGAAGCTGGCTCCCCGGCGCCGCGTCGTCGCGGGGCACCTGACGCGCTGAACTCAAGGGTTGCCGCGCGCCCCCGCCGCGCCTCACCTCGCCTAGCCCAGAGCATCCTCCTCCGCTGCCGCAGCCGCCCAGGAAGCGGCTACCCATGCCCGGCGGGCGGCGGCACTCAGGCGCGCTCTACAGCCCGGGGAAGCCCGGGCGAGCGCCGAGCTGGGTCCATCCTCCCCGGGAGCCACGGGCCCCGCGTCAGAGTAGGGGGAGGAGACCGCCACCCGCGCGGACCCGCCTCCTCCCGCGGCCCCCGCCCCGCCGGCCCCCGCACCCGCCCGGCGCCCAGCGGCGCCGCTCACCTACTAGCTCCCCGGCCGCCGCCGCCGCCTGGTAGTGCGCTCCTCGCCCCGGCCTCGCGGCTCCAGCTCCCTCCGGGGCGCTCTCTGCGCAGCCTGAGCGCGCTCCGAGAGCTTAGCCGAGCCGCGGTGGCGACGAGGAGGTGGAAGAACGAGCGAGCGAGCGAGCGGGGGCGCCGCGGCTTGCAGTCGCGCCTCTGGAGCCCCTGCGCGCTCTCTCCATCCTGGCGTGGAAGCGGGAGAGACAAGCCGAGAGCGAGGGGTCCCCGCCCCAGCCTCGCCAGCGTGAAGAGGGTAAGGGAGGGGGTTGTCACAAAGTAGCCAGTGTTTTCTCCCCCATCACCACCACTGGCCGCAGCTCCGCCTGGCCCCTCTCATTTTTCTCTAGGGTCTACCCTTTTATCCAAGCCTCGAAAACATACGCATACCCAAATATACGGAGTGCCATTATGGGCGAAACCACGAGGGGAGTCTCTGTGAGGGCATGTTGCCCCCACGCCCCTTGGCAGGAGGGGGCGCTCGCTCCCAGCCGCCAGCGCAGGCTCGGTGGCTCCTGTTTTGACTGAGGCTTCCCAGGCAAAGTTGGGCAAGTTGGGAGGGAAAAGGCTAGCATGTGTCACGTTTCCGTCCTAGGAAAGACCCGTGCCCCTGAGAGTATGCAGACCGCGGTTAACTCCGGCTTACTCCCCCCAACTCCCTTACTCGGCTCTTAGAATGACTGGGAGTAAACAATCCTCTGATCCGAAGCTGTGCGGGAGACGGCTCCAGCGAGTACGCAGTCGGTTGCTCCTTGCTTAGGGTCCTAGCTTACAAAGATCCTAGAAACACCAAGTCGCAGAAAAGATTGGGTCCTTCTGAACATTCTTCCACCCTGAGACTGGATTCAAATCCAGGAATCCCTGTTGTGTGGCATACCTGTCTCCAGAGGCCTGAACGCAGGAGGAGAGAGGAGCCTGGAGAATCAAATCAAGTCGATAATGTGTAGATTCGCACTGCACACAAACCACCCTGCTGGACCCAGGTGCAGAAAAGGAAAGCAAGAGGCAAGCAACCCTTCCTTAAAAAGTTTACCCTTACTCTTTTGGGGGCTACACTTCTGTTTTCCAGCTGTGTAATAACAAAGCTAATGCGATGGATTTGTGCTTTTCTGTTTTGGTTTTTTTTTTTTTTTTTTTTTTTTTACCTCTTAGCTTCAGACACTCACCCACGGAAATTTAATGAAGCTTTTAGGGTTGTTACCTCCAGAGTCAATGAGCTAAAAATATTTAGCCTAATGCACTCCTTGTGGAGCCAGTAGGTCCAGGGCTGGTACATACAGAGTCATCAAGAGACCCTCCCTTTCTCTACAAAATTCACGACCCATTAAACTTACTCCATAATAACAGCTTCCGCACAAATGGAGGCCTGAGCAAACGGAGGCTGTCACGCACCACCTGAAAAGACAGCAATTTACATAGAGACAAGAAAAATTTGTGAGGTCATAGCAGAATGCAGTCTTGCAAGAAGAGATGATCAGATGAAACTCCCAAAAAGGTGGGAGGGAGGTCCTATCCCTGATACTGCTCGGTTTCTATCTACCTCCGGGTGTGACCAGATAATCTAAGGGTGGGGAGCAGGGAAACTAGCCCAAGTCTCTCCAAGTTTTCCAGAGTTCTGGAAACTGAGGACAGTTGACGCCAGATATGGTTCTACACTGTGTAGGAAGTTCAGGCTTACCAGGCAACTCAATTAAGATTAACTTCAGTTTCTTCATCTATGAAGACACATCTCAAGTGTCTAAACTCTACTAAGAAAAGAGGGACAAATCTGAGAAGACATGGTCGAAACGGGGAGGGAGGGTAGAAAACTGTTATGATGGACGCACAGGTCTAAATTCTCATTGACTACCAAAAACATTAAAGTTTCTCAATGCTTTGAGGATAGCCTTAGAACATGAAGGCCATCTACATGCATCTTAAGGCCCTACTTTTAAAACCTGTCTTCACCCACCTTTCACTTTGTTTGGCTTTCTATTGATATGATGATTACAAACTTTGAAGGGAATTCATGACACTGAATTGGCCAAGTAATGGAAATACAAGACTCTATCTCTGCTCAGTGTTGAATCAAGTCTACCATGGAAACTGGGCAAATTTCCCTGAAATTCAACAGGGGTAACAAGCAAAGCTTTTCTCAAATCCAGGCATAACATGTAGATGCTAACTGCACACAAACTACCCACCAATGATCTTTCAAGTTAAACCAAACCATATCTTAAAGGAACATTTTAAGTTGTTGTACTAAACACGTCATGAAACAAGTCACCTAAGAATTAAGGTTTTTTTTTTCTTTTGTTCTTTTTAAAAATAACAATGTCATTTGTATTAAGAATGGCATAAGAAAAAAATCTCAGTGAACATTTCTTTATCATCTACCCTGAGAAACAGTAAAATAAGAACAGCAAAGATGTATATATTGTTTATTAGGTTTCAGACACAGTTCTGATACTTTCCGTATATTAACTCATTTAACCTTCACAACAGGCCATTGGGGAAGGCACTCTTATTATACTGGATAAAGTATGGAGTTTGGAATTTAATGAGCTTCGTTCATCTTTGACAAGTTACTTCTCTGAACGTCAAAATTCTCAACCCTACAATGGTGGTGGATCATACTTGCTTCTTGAGATCACAGTGAGCCTTAAATGAGATAAGGAAGTGGAAGTGCCTGGCACTGAATAAATCAGTCACCCCATAAACATTGATTCTCTTCCCAGAATAGTTCTAAAATAGTTCATTTTAATTTGACAGGCATTTATAATGGGAATAATGGTGATAAATCAGAAACATGTTCTACCTTTGAGGATGTTGGAGTCAACCAAATAAAAGACACAGGCATGAGCAGCCTGCACATGGGCAAAATAGAGTTTTATTGAACTTTACATAATTTATAACTATGCACATGATTTTCAAGATACTCAAAGGAGAAGCCTATGTAAGTGCTGGTTGACCTATGATGGAAATCAAAATCAAATGTCAGAAATCATAAGTCCTATTAGCTATTACTACTCCTCCAAAGAAAGAAATGCAAAGAAGCCCATTTTGTGTATTATATTTTATTTAGTTCTGTTTATTCCTATAATTATTTCAATTACAACACTCGTTGGCTAGAGTGTAATAAAATTTTATGGTGTAAACTATGGACTTTTTTCTTTTTCTGTAGTTTATTGAGGTATAATTGGCAAATAATGCCTCAATATTGTGTATATTTAAGATGTACAAGATGATGTTTTGATATACATATACATTGTAAAATAATTAGCACAATTAAGCTAATTAGCATATCCATACCTTCACATAGTTACTAATTTTGTGCATGTGATAAGAACAGTTAAGAGCTTAGAAAATTTCAAGTACATGGTGCATAATTATTAACAGTAGTCACCATGCTATACATTAGAGCTCCAGAACTTATTCATCATATAACTGAAGGTTTTTACCCTTTAACCAAAATCCCCCCATTTTCCCCACTCTCTAGCCCTTGACAACCATGATTCTATTCTCTGGCTTTGATGAGTTTGATTGCTTTAGATTCCACATGCAAATGAGACCATGCAGTATTTGTCTTTTTAGGTCTGGCTTATTTCACTTAACAAAATGTCCCCTAGGTTCATTCATGTTGTCACCAATGGTAGGATTTCCTTCTATTTTAAGACTGAATAGTATTTCATTGTAGACATATATACCACATTTTCTTTATCCATGCATCTGTTGACAGTCATTAGGGCAGTTCAGTGTCTTGGCTATTGTGAATAATGCTGCAATGAACATGGTAGTGCAGATATCTCCTTGAGATACTAATTTAAATTCCTTCAGATATATACCCAGAAGTGGGATTGCTGGAACATATGGTAGTTCTGTTTTTAGTTTTTTGAAGAACTTTCATACTCTGTTCGTAATGGCTATACCAATTTACAATCCCACCAACAGCATACAAAGGTTCCCTTATCTCTTCATTTGCACCAATACTTCTTACATTTGTCTTTTACAAAAAAAAAAGAACAAAACTGTTTTTTTGTTTCTTTGTTTTGTTTTTTGTTTTGTTCTGTTTCTTTGAGAAAGGGTCTCACTCTGTCACCCATTCTGGAGTGTAGTGGTACCATCACTAGGAATTTATTCCTAGGCCCTCTATTCTGTTTCATTGATCTGTGTCTGTTTTCGTTCCAGTATCATACTATTCTAGTATCATACTTTGAAATCAGGTAGTATGATTTCACTGCAGCCTCAAAGCCCTGGATTCAAGGGACCCGTCTCCTTCCGCCTCCCAAGTATCTTGGGACTACAGGCAAGTGCCACCATGCCAGGCTAATTTTCAAGAAGTTTTATAAGGACAAGGTCTGGCTATGTTTTTCAGGCTGATTTTGAACTTTTGACTTCATGCGATCCTCCTGCCTCACCTTCCAAAGTGCTAGGAGTGTGAGGTGATATCTCATTGTGGTTTTCATTGCATTTCCCTGATGATTCGTGATATTGAACAACTTTTTACATGCTGCTAGCCATTTATATGCCTTCTTTAACAAACCAAAAATGTCTATTCGGGTCCTTTGCCCATTTTTAAAATAAGGTTGTTTGTTTTCTATTATTGAGTAATAATGAGTTCCTTATATATTTTGGGTATTAACCCCTTATCAGATACATGGCTTGTAAATATTTTCTCCCATTCTGTAAGTTGCCTTTTCATTTTTTTGATGGTTTCCTTTGCTATGAAGAAGTTTTTAGTTTGATGTAGTCCCATCTGTCTACTTTCACTTTTGTTGCGTATGCTTTTGGTGCCATATCCAAAGAATCATTGTGAAGATCAATGCCAAGGAGCTTTTCCTCTGTGTTTTGTTTCAGGATTTTTATTATTTCAAGTGTTGCATCTGCCTTTAATCCATTTTGAGTTGATTTTCATATATGGTATGACATAAGGATTCAATTGCATTCTTTTGCTTGTGGACATGCAGTTTTCCCAACACCATTTATCGAAAAGACTATCCTTTCCCCTTTATATATGCTTGATGACTTTATCAAAGATTAGTTGATGATAGATGGGTGAATTTATTCCTAGGCCCTCTATTCTGTTTCATTGGTCTAGGTGTCAGTTTTCCTCCCAGTATCATACTATTCCAGTATCATACTTTGAAATCAGGTAGTATGATGCTTCTGGGTTGTAATTATCTTTTAAGACTGCTTTAGCTATTCAAGGTCTTTTGTGGTTCCATATACATTTTAGGATTTTTTTCTATTTCTGTGAAAAAATGTAAGTAGCATTTTATAGGGATTACATTGAATCTATCAATTGCTTTGGATAGTATGGATACTTTAACAACATTAATTATTCTACTTCATGAGCATGGGATAGCTTTCCGTTCATTTGCGTCGTCTTTAATTTCTTTCATCAACATTTCAGTTTTCAATGTGCAGATCTTTCACATCGATAGTTAAATTTACTCCTAAATATGTTACCCTTTGTGATGATATTGTAAGTGGAATGGAGTTTTTCAAACACAAATTATTACACAGCCACAATTCATTAAATAGTTTGTCGTGCTTGTTAGGAATGTTTCTGTGTACATAAAGCCTCGAGTTAATACAATTTTTAATAAAGTTCAGTCGGAACACTCCTACCAAGCTTAATAGAGATATAATATGCTCAAAGTATACTAACATAGAATGTGTACGATTTCAAAGGTTTATAATCCTCTCACTCTCCCTTTTATTCAAGTTCATGTTTATACTCAGATTCTGTATTTTAATAAGAAAGGTCTATCCTTTATTTTAAAAATATGTTTACTGATGGCTTGCTCTATACCAGGTACAATGTTAGGCATTGGCAGAGAAAGAAAACAAAAACAAACAAACAAACAAACAAAAACTTGTCCTGAAACAACTCATAGCCAAGTGAAGGAAACACATAATCATATTACATTGAGATGAACACTGTGACAATGCCAAGTACAGGACGCTAAGGGAGCATCAAATGGGGCATTTAACCCAAGGTAGCATGTGAAGAGGACTTCATGAAGGAAGTGACGTCATCCTGAAAGATAATTGGGTAACCAGGTGAAGCAAGAAAAGATATTTCAGGCCAAAAAACAAAAAAAGAAAAAGAAAAA